TGCCGTTCCATATTTATGCTTTCAAAGACCTTTATTAATGTTTTTTATACCTCATTTACGTGTTTTAAGATTGATTATACAAGTTTTAATGGGAATCGGTCTGAAGCACCTTCTGCGCATGCGTATTTTCGCGTTTCTCGCCGCCAGTTTTGACAGGTGGATTTGCTGGTAGTCGGTGACAGTGAGCCGGTAAGAAATGTTTTATTTTCGGTATTGCGTTCATTCTAGGTTATTCCTAAGACTATGCACCCGGCTCGATCGGTAGTTTGCGAGCGACATATAGCACCTAAAAGCTTTTATTTTGCTAAAATTTATAAAAATATTAAAATTTTGAAGGTTTACCTTCACTTTAGGTGCCATTGCCTAAAATCTGCCCCTCGTGCATTCGGGCACGCCTAGTCACAGCAATTTAGATTGATATATTAGGTTGGTTTATTGGTCAATACGTTTTGGGGGGTTGGAACGTGTGAATTCCTGTAGAGTTTTACCGTAATTTGGGTTGTGTTCCTGTAGAGTTTTTGATTTATATCGCGTCAGTCTGCAAACTTTCAAAGATGGCGGTTACATCCGTAGAGTTTCATTTGCTGATTTTAAGCGCTTTTTGTGCTAGTTTTACGCATTTTTGATCGTTATTCTTCTTATTTAATCTTGTTTTACCCCATAATTTCCCTGATATACTTCATGCCCTCCCCTGCTAATGGGACTATCAAATCAAGATCGTCGATGGAGAAATGGTACTCGATCTCCTGAACGATTCATTCCCAAAAGAAACAACGCTGAAAATCGATGAAATCATAGGATTTCATGCAGAAAAACATAAATTTTTTTTGACTTAGTCTCTGAGAGGGTCCGTCGCTCTCTGTAACAATTACTGTTTATTGTTAACAGTATGATGTAGCTCTATCTTGCCTTACATACTGAGGTGAAGAGAATGTGTCCCAGGGGGTGTTGGGGGGCTTGCCCCCCATCAACCCTCCCCTCGGGCAGTGCCCGAAGGTTAGATTGGGTTGTGGGTTTGGACGTTTTTGGTGCTTGGAAGGTGTGAAATCCCGTAGATTTTGCTGAAAGATGCGTTCTATTCCTGTAGAGTTTTTCGAATTTTGGCGTGCCTGTGCGTAGATTTTCAAAGATGGCAGACATGTCTGTAGAGTTTCATTAGCTGATTTTTAGCCATTTTTGGGCTAGATTTGTGTTTTTGTTCGCTATTCTTCTTATTTAAGCCTGTTTTACCCCATAATTTCCCTGATGTACTTCATGCCTTCCCCTGCTAATGGGACTAACAAATTACGATTGTTGATAGAAGTGGTACTCAGATCTCATCAACGAAGCATTTGCACAAGAAACAACATCAAGAATTGTTGAAATCAGTGGATTTCATGCAGATAAATATCAAAATTAGTTCAAAAGTAAGCCCCTACCCTGTTATGCATATTGACCCAGTTTTATACAAGAATCGGTCTGAAGAACCTTCTGTGCATGTGCATATGTGCATTTCCAGGCCCCAGTTTTGACAGGAGGATTCCTGGCCATTCAGTGATAGAAGGCTTACGAGAAATATTTTGATTTTGGTATTGCGTAGATTCTGGGTTATTTTTAAAACTATACAGTGGCAACGAATGTGAAATGGAACTTAATAAACATCGCAGTTTGATATCTGAGACCATCAAGTGCCCTAAATGCCGAAAAAAGTGATTCAAAATGAAGCGATCCACACAGTAGAGAGAAGCAAAAGAAAGTTTGATAGTTGGGTGTTTCAATAATTAAAGGTATTTGGTTTATTGTTTACAGTATGGATGTAGCTCTATCTTGCCGTACATGCCTAGGTGAAGAGAGTGTCTCCCAGGGGGTGTTGGGGGTCAGAGCCCGCTGCCAATCCTCCCATCAGGCAGTGCTCGAATGGCACACCGAGTCATGGAAGTTATGAAATCCCATAGATTTTATCAAAAGTTGGATGGATTACTATAGAGATTCTTGTAGTCTTATTCAAATTGTTATAATATCGGGGATAACACTAATCTTGGTGAAATACAATAACTGTGCTTCATCTGTAGAATTTTGTCAGCGGTTTGTCACTTCCCAGCCACTGTCACTTCAATCATATAGGAAATCTAACTTGTATCTTTTATTATTTAGTCAGTGGCGACCGGGAGGGATAAGGAAATACGCCAAATGGGAGGGCGTCCAGAAGCGGAGCTCCTGAGAAGGAAACATGACTACTGGGAGGGGGTCTGGGGATATAGATCCTGGATTAGGAAATTTTTTGGTTCATACTGTTATCCTTTTAGTGGCTTGTTTATGATGAGGTTCAATCGCTCATCTTATCTTGTGCTTATCTCTTTCCAGCTCTTTATTATTTAAAATAACTTTTTGCCTCATGTTTTTGATTTTTTGAGTTCCTTTTGCTTTTTAAAATACCTATTACAAGTGAAATTCCCCCCACCCCACTCCCTATTCCCTATGCGATCCCTCAACATTGTTAGCTTGAGTCAGACCATAGTCTTTGATGATATTGGTATCAATGAAATCCTCCCTCTCTCTCTCTCTCCTATACAAATATAGAAATTATGTGATAGACCCCCCTCCCCCCCATACACACAATTTTGTCCTGAAAGCAGGGGAGGACATGAATGGTACCAGGGAAATTGTAGGTGAAAATTTGAATGATATACAGAAAATTGGTCTAGATATAGTTAATCCATTGGCGCCGGGTGTCACGTATGTACATACCATGGCTGTTGTGGACCAAACGCCTGGGGCATCATGCCATGCCCATTTCCGCGCTACTGGCTCGTCGGACGGAGGTTGTTTTTCTCCAGTAGTAGTGGTTTCATTTATATGGTAAAGATTTTAGGCAATGGCACCTAAAGTGAAGGTAAACCTTCAAAATTTTAATATTTTTATAAATTTTAATAAAATAAAAGCTTTTAGATGCTATATGTCGCTCGCAAACTACCGATCGAGCCGGGCGCAAACAGGGGAAACTGCCGGTGTGCGCCAACAAGCCGGTGCATACGCAAACTTGACAAAATTTTTACCCGTTGCTGATGGGTTAAATACATGGTGCTGGGAGGGGGCTGCTGCATCCCAATCCCTGCCTTGAACAACAAAATATCTACTATTTACCTTGGGCAGGTTAGAGTGTAGGAAAGATTCTGCATTAGTCAGTCCTGCATACCTGTTATATACTCTATCCTGCTGTTAAAATATGGAGGATTCTTTGTCTTCCATTGTGGATTTTGGGGGTTACTGCCCCCCAGTGGGGGTTGCAAGGAGCACATCCCCTGCATTAGACTATATAGTGACCTATTATGTGTATATTTATATTTTACTTCACAATTTCCTCAGTACCTTCCTTGCCTTCCATGCTATCACAGTCAAGAATGTGGGTATTTGGGGTGGTTCTGTGTCAAAAGTTTTACTTGTATGGGTAGTAGAGAATGAGATGGATCCATTAATATCAGTATTGTGATTAGTCTTGTTAAAGTATTTTTGATATTTACCAAAGTTTCAGTTGTTGGTACAAGAAATAATCTTCAGACAAGGGTAATGCCACAGATAAAAGGAAACGATTGTGGAAAGTGACGCTCACATGGTGCTGCTGAGTTTCCGCTCTCTTTTGCCACGTATACTGAGGTGAAAACAATGTTTCCTGGGGATGTAGGGGGCAGAACCCCCCATCATCATTCCCCTTGGGCATGCCCAATAACAGCAAATTAAGATTGTTGAATAAGATTGGTGATGCAGATTTAGGGACAGTCTCTTCTGATTGTGTTTCTACTGGACTAGCTGGAGTTGTGACACTTGTCAAAACTTTTTTTTTTTTTTTTTTTTCTTTACTAATATTATTCTTTGTCTGTGTAGATTATTATACATATCAGTGAGTGTAGTGTCTTCATTTATTTTTGACAGTTCGCTTAGATTTTCCCAATCATTGTGCAGTTAAGGAGATATATACTGTATAATGTAGGTAGCACAATGATACATTACAGGAGTTACATTTGATACATATTGTCTTTTACATGATTGAATGTGTTAAAGCTTTTGGTAGTTGTTTAGCACCAGAAAATTTGTTTTTGGATTGTTGTTTGGTATGCAAAATATTTATGGAGATTAGTGCTGTGGTATAATTGTTAGAATACTAAATACTAGAGCCTTGTTTTACTACTGACATTCAGCCCAGGTCCCAGGGCTACCTTTGGCCACCCAACCTCCCAGTATGTACATATTAGTTACTTGCCACCACCCTTTGCAAGTCGAGGCTAGCTTCAAAATGATGTTATGGTGTTATAATTACATAATGATATTCCCTGAAATGAGTGTGGTTCTATAAACAGGATAGACTAATGTGATCATCAGTTTTAGGAACAGACCAATGTTTATTGTAGCTTTAGTTGTAAAGTATATTTAATTTTATATTTATAAATCATTCTGTTGAGATACAGATGACTGAAATGTTAACTGTGAGGGAAAGAGGAAATTGCATGATCACAAACTACTCATTCACTATCTTCAGAGTTTGAGTGAAATGTAGTGTTATCAACGTTTTAGGGGAAAAGGTTGATATAATAACATGTGAACTTCAGCAAGAACTCTATGCCATCTATTAAGGTATAATAAAAGAAGGTTGAGCATATCAAATTTGTGTAGAAAGGCATGTGAAGCAATGTTCTTTGCTGAAACATTAGCAAGTGGCAATTGTTTTCCAGATCTACCATGCATATAATACAGTTAGAAGCAATGAAATTAATTCTAGCAAAACTTGAGTATACATGCTATTGCTTAATAAGTATTAAATACAGCAGGCTCATGTTCGGGAAGAAAGTTTTGAATATAGGTTATAGCATTCGCTTCTTTGAGTGTTTGCTACCCCTTTTCAGAGTGGAAATCTACAGTGGGCTTCGGTAACATCAGACGAAATAACTACGAGAAAGTTTGCAGAAGGCCTGGTAACAGATATAGTTAGATTATTGCACTGCCAAATGTAAATAGCAGGTTGAGGGTTACAATGTTCAAGAAGGTGAAAGCTTTCCTGCAACTTTCTGGTGCTTAAAGGGGATAGAATAGGGAGGTATGGATCCAACACAAGTGGATACAAATCAGATTTCTGTGTTGTTAGAAATTATAGTGGCCTGATAAAGATAGAAGTAAAAATGTATATTTGTAAGAAGGAAGAAGGTAATTCATTGAAGTATTGTTTTGAAATATATATCCAATACTTTTGCCAGTGGTTAGAAATATTTTTTAAACAAATTTGAATTGCAATGCATTGCATAAGGCAGCAAAAGCAGCTGTACATCGTCTCAAAAAGAAATTCTCTTGTCAAAAGGCAAGACCCCAGCTAGTCAGTCTTGTTAATTATGCCTCTGCCTTTTGCTTTGTTAGTTTTGTGAAATGAATTAGGTTGTGGTATAGTGTAAATATGATTAGACCATGGTTAAGATTAATTGGTTATGGTGCAAGTGGATATGGATGGCTTAAAGAATGCAGTGTGAATTATATTTGCTACTTACCCAATCTTTGTTCTTGTTACACATACATGGATACATTTGATTTATATGAAACAAGGAGGAGGCAGAGTTTTGTGCTTATTGATTTCTGAGCAACCATTGCAATGAATACATTTGTAATGAATAGACTCAGAGCTTTCAGTGATATTGTTAGAATACTGTAGATTGCTTAAAAGGGAGTTGCACTAACTTAGCAAAAAATTTACTCTGCTTGATTCCTCTTAATTTGATTAAGAAAAAAAAGTATAGCAGTTAAAAATGTACCTCTGAATTGGAACTAGGGTGCAAAACTTTTAAAGCATTGTAGATTTATATTGATTTATTGTAGGCAAGTTTAGAAATGTCTTATTTATTCGGAATTTTGGGGATTAAGAATGCAATTCTTTTAGTTAAAGGGATCATGTCACTTCTTCCTATTAGCTTTGTGAAACTACTTGTTTGAAATTATATATTTTTATAGTCGTGATGAGTTTGGCACCCACTACTAGTTCCAATCAGAAACTTGTTGCTATATCTTTAAATTACTAGTTTTAATTAAACAAATAAATGCTTGTTTTTTGGGGGGGGAACTATAGGCAAAGCTATTATACTTGTACAAAACACTTGATGTTTCCCCTTTTTTTGTTGTAGAAATTGGTGTGCAGAACTGCTAGTATGAAAAGTCTATTTTTTTAGCCAGCTAATTCATATGGTTTCAAATCTTAGTTGTACCAAGAAATGTTTGAAATTCTCAAGATATGGTTTGTTAGGGGAAGTATGTCCAGTTCCTTAGAAATGGATGAATCTGATGATTTTCTCTCTCTCTCTCTCTCTCTCTCTCTCTCTCTCTCTCTCTCTCTCTCTCTCTCTCCTCTCTCTTCTCTCTCTCATCTCTCTCTCTCTCTCTGTCTCTCTCCGTCTGTCTGTCTCTGTCTCTCTCCGTCTGTCTGTCTCTGTCTCTCTCTCCGTCTGTCTGTCTCTGTCTCTCTCCGTCTGTCTGTCTCTGTCTTCTCTCTGTCTGTCTGTCTCTCTCCGTCTGTCTGTCTCTGTCTCTCTCCGTCTGTCTGTCTCTGTCTCTCTCCGTCTGTCTGTCTGTCTCTCTCCGTCTGTCTGTCTCTGTCTTCTCTCCGTCTGTCTGTCTCTGTCTCTCGTCTGTCTGTCTCTGTCTCTCTCCGTCTGTCTGTCTCTGTCTCTCTCCGTCTGTCTGTCTCTGTCTCTCTCCGTCTGTCTGTCTCTGTCTCTCTCCGTCTGTCTGTCTCTGTCTCTCTCCGTCTGTCTGTCTCTGTCTCTCTCCGTCTGTCTGTCTCTGTCTCTCTCCGTCTGTCTGTCTCTGTCTGTCTCTGTCTCTCTCCGTCTGTCTGTCTCTGTCTGTCTCTGTCTCTCTCCGTCTGTCTGTCTGTCTGTCTCTGTCTCTCTCCGTCTGTCTGTCTGTCTGTCTCTGTCTCTCTCCGTCTGTCTGTCTGTCTCTGTCTCTCTCCGTCTGTCTGTCTGTCTCTGTCTCTCTCCGCCTGTCTGTCTCTGTCTCTCTGTCTCTCTCCGCCTGTCTGTCTCTGTCTCTCTCCGCCTGTCTGTCTCTGTCTCTCTCCGTCTGTCTGTCTCTGTCTCTCTCTCCGTCTGTCTGTCTCTGTCTCTCTCTCCGTCTGTCTGTCTCCGTCTCTCTCCGTCTGTCTGTCTCCGTTCTCTCCGTCTGTCTGTCTCCGTCTCTCTCCGTCTGTCTGTCTCCTGTCTCTCTCCGTCTGTCTGTCTCTGTCTCTCTCCGTCTGTCTGTCTCTGTCTCTCTCTCGTCGTCTCTCTCCGTCTGTCTGTCTCTGTCTCTCTCTTCTTTTTCTTTCTCTCTCTTTCTCTTTCTCTCTTNAGAAAGAGATAGATAGATAGAGAGAGAGAGAGAGACAGACAGAGAGAAAGAGGAGAGAGAGGGAGAGAGAGAGAGAGAGAGAGAAGAGAGAGAGAGAGACAGAGAGAGAGAGAGAGAGAGAGAGAGAGACAGAGAGAGAGAGAAGAGAGAGAGAGAGAGAGAGAGAGAGAGAGAGAGGAGAGAGAGAGAGAGAGAGAGAGGGAGAGAGAGAGAAGAGAGAGAGAGAGAGAGAGAGAGAGAGAGAGAGAGAGAGAGAGAGAGAGAGAGAGAGAGAGAGAGAGAGACGAGAGAGAGAGAGAGAGAGACAGAGAGACAGAGAGAAGAGAGAGAGAGAGAGAGAGAGAGAGAGAGAGAGAGAGAGAGAGAGAGAGAGAGAGAGAGAGAGAGAGAGAGAGAGAGAGAGAGAGAGAAAGAGACGAGAGAGAGAGACTGGGAAAGAGTATGATAAAGTGAAAGAGAAAAATAGAAAGATAAATTAGAAATATAGATCAGTAGGTAGAGAAAGATAATGGGTAGTGGTAAATGATAGAAGGACAGACATAGAGGAAATAATTGTACAAATAAGTAGAATGTAGACAGACATAGCTGAATAGACAGATGGGTAAATACATGGCAAGATACATTATATATATATATATATAATATATATATATATATATATAATATATATATATATATATATATATATATATATATATATAGAGAAGAGAAGAGAGAGAGAGAGAGAGAGAGAGACAGAGAGAGAAGAGAGAGAGAGAGAGAGAGAGAGAGAGAGAGAGAGAGAAGAGACAGAGAAGAGAGAGACAGACATAGAGAAGGAGAGAGACAGAGAGAGAGTCAATCTGCGAAGAATGAGAAAGAAAGACACATTCGGTCACACAAAGAGAGAAAAGGCGACCACCACCACCACGCGCATTAACGCACGCACGCAGACACAAACACACAGGCACCGAACGCACAAGCATGCTAATAAAGCATAAGAGAAATGAACGTGTGCAAGCAGAAGGCATCTGAGAGTGGTTGATAGGTCATGCAAACGCCCCAAGAATTGTTCCCATTAAAATGTACAATTCTGAACGGAGCGAAGAATGAACAAATTATATTGATATGAGCGATATAGATTTTCCTTGCTGATGAGATTCAGATGATGGAAGAAAATAGATTGAAGAATAAATGAATAAATATGTAAATGTAATAGTAATAATGATGATAAATAATAATAATAATAATAAAATAATAATATAATAATAATAATAATAATAATAATAATAATAATAATAATAATAATAATAATAATAATAATAATAATAATAATAATAATAATAATGATAATAATAATAATAATAATAATAATGATAATAATATGTAGATAAAATGTAGAATAAAAATGTAAATATGAATATGTAAATAAAAAGGCAAATATAGAAATTTAAATGAATACGTAAATATAAATACGTAAATATAAATGTAGTTAATTCTTTTTATATAAATGAATAAAAATGTGAAGCAATTGCAGGAATATATGAATATAAATGTCACTAATAAGAAGACAATAATTGACAATTTAGATTATGGATCTACAACTGTTATACATATTTATCATGACAGGCTTTGATATAAGTCATATATGAGTCTTGATATGAATTTCACTCATCGTTCTTAAATTATTTGATGAATAACAAGGGAAGGAAATGAGAAGAAAAAAAACACACACACACACAGGAAAAATAAAGAAAAAATTAAAAATGAAATTCGAAAAGACAACGATAAGGAATTATTTAAATGAATGACTTGTTGCTATTGCATCATTTAAATAAGATAGACTGAGATAGAGATAGAGAGAGAGAAGGGATAAAAAAAATAGATCAAGACGGAAAACAAAAACAAACAAACAAAAAAAAGTCAAAACAAATCGACTAATAACAGTGAAAACAACAAACACAAGAATCATGAACAACCAACAACTAACACCAACCCTTCTGCCAAAACCACAACGAAAAACAACAACTAAAAATGAACAAGAACAACAGCCACTTCTAAAATTCTGCCTGGGGGGAGGGGAAGAGGGAGGGGGACGGGAAGGGAGAGAGGGAAGGGGAACGGAAAGGGGAAAGGGAAGGGAAGGGAAGGGAAAGGGAAGGGAAGGGAAGGGAAGGGTGAAAGGGAAGGGAAGAGGGAAAGATAAGGAGAGGAGGGGTAGTGAAAAGGGGAGGGAAGGAGGAAAGGAGAGGAAAGGATAGGGAAGGAGGAAAGGGAGGGAAGAGAAAAAAGGGAGGAGAGGAAAAGGAAAAGAAATTGAGAGGACGGGGAGAAGGGGAAGGGGAGAGGAGGGGGGGATCCTGCCGGGTCGGGGGAGGCGCCCGGATTCGTTGATGGATTAGCGAATCCCTTAAAGATTAGTGTGAGGAGGGGGGAGGGGGGAGGGGGGAGACCGCTGATGCCTCACTAGATCTTTTTTTATCTTTATCATTTCATCTTTTCTCGTCTTTGTTTTTTATTGTTGTCACCATCTTTATCATCATTCAGTCATCACCAGTATTGTCATTATGATTTTAAAATCGTTATTACTATCATCACTATGCTTATCATTATTTTTACTATCATTAGTAGTATTAGTCTTAGTATTACCGTCAGTTTTAATGTTATTAGTTTTTAAGCA